TGGATTTGTTTCAGCTTTTGTCTTCTCCAGATGTTAACTGATGGACTGGAGTGCTGTGGATTACTTGTGGATTATTGTGATGTTTTTATCAGCTGTTTGGACTCTCATTCTGACGGCACCCATTCACTGCAGAGCATACATTGCTGAGACACTGATGCAATGCTACATTTCTACAAACCTGATGAAGAAGCACACTCATCTACATCATGGTTCTTTTTAAATTCATTTTAGATTTGTAAATAATGCAAGATGCACTCACAAAACACATTTCAAGACTTTAAGCAGAAGCTTTCAAACAGTGTTAAAATGATGAAAAACGAGAAATTAGAGAAGTGTTTCCTAAAATAGTATGACTGTGCAAATTTACCCGAGTAGATCTGCTCATGGCTGCCATAGTCGAATACACAACCTCCTCTTCCTACACACAAACAAACATGCTACAATTAAACCTTTCTTTAGATGAACTGGTTTTTATAAATACATGTCCAAAATTTAACACTAACCTTTTTGCGAGGTCTTTTTTTCCCTTCAATGTGTGTGACGCTGGAGTAAGTCACGTCATCCTTAAAAAGACAACAAGTTGTTCGCCAGTTGCAGCATGCAAAAGCAAACACTGCAGCTACACATGCATCTGCCTTTACGTTATGTTTGAGCTCATGAACTGACAGCTAAATGTGTCAATCTCAAAAAGCTAGTTTTATGAAGAAAACATTATATGCATGCAGATTTTTGCACAGACACTGACCTCAGTGGATTCAACCCTCTTGTTCAGTACAACCGCTGCATTCTGTGTGAAATACACTACTGTCAGTAAACACACACCCATTGGTTGCACGAGTCAGAAATACACAAACTGGAAAATTTATTTTGAGGAAATGAGAGAATTAGTTGTGCAGAATGTAATAATTTAAAACAGAAAGAGCTAAAATTAAAAGCACTGAGCTGTTTTTTTTATTTTTATGAATTGTTGCTAAAGCACATTACAACATTTTCTTGCAGTTTTA